TAATGTCTTGTAAAAGTGTTGGGTTATAAATGTACATGGGTTATTTCATCAGTTTACGTCGTAGATTAATCATGTTTAACGTTTCACTTTCTTAGTTTGTTCTGGACAAAGTGTTGGGTTATAAATGTACATGGGTTATTTCATCAGTTTACGTCGTAGATTAATCATGTTTAACGTTTCACTTTATTAGTTTGTTCTGGACAAAGTGTTGGGTTATAAACGTACATGGGTTATTTCATTAGTTTACGTCGTAGATTAATCACATTCTTAGTTTGTTCTGGACACGTATTTCAGACTCCTAGGTTTTTCCAAAGCCACAGGTATCCAGATTAACCTGTGATGGATCCATTCATTATGGTTACTTTAGTAACAGTAAGAATTCATACATAAAATCACTATACAAATGGACTTCAATACCAAAAACAGTCTTATGTAATATAAGTGAATATCCGTTAAAGACTGCTGGCAAATGATGCGGCCCTTCTAATTCTAACATTTGGCTCAAAGACTGGTAGTGATGTAAATTTGAGACGTGATTAGTGAATTAAATGAAAAGCCTGCTTATGTATATCGAAATATAGTTAACGCTGTTCAAGTGTCCAAATAAATACTGCTCACACACACGAACACCCGGTATTATTAGTCGAAGGAAATTTGAGTAGAAACGGTGAGAATTCTTCATGCAACTAATTAGCAAGCAACCTTTACATAGATCATCTGTGTGGTATCTTGTAGTAGAAAACAACAATAACAAAAGGCATGAGACATTTTAAGCTTTTCTTGAAATGCTGCTTCTCTTGACAAGATTATTTTTGTCAAATTATTCATAGTTTTAACGTTGATCTTGATTAATTAGTTTTCTCTGTGTGTTTTATTCTTGATGTATTGCTCTCTTCCTATATTTAAAGCGTACGAGTCCCGTACGATGCTTCCTTGATCTTTACATCGATTGTGATATGTATAATGACGAGCGTAGCAAGCAGATAGTGCGCGTTGTCGGCTATCTCCATGGTAACGAAAACCCTGCGTCCACTCGGCATGGCGCACACTTGCGCTTATTGCGCCGTTGCTTTCCGTGAACGTTTCTCGTGCGAGCGTGATGGTGAGCTCAGTATAGGAAGGTTTTCAACGTGACAAGCGACGACGTTATTTCAGTAGCATGCATTTTATCGCGACACTTGGAGAGAGTTATAGCTGGTTCTCGAGAATGTAAACATCACGTGCTGTTCAAGATACAACATGAGTAGTATTGATGATGGTTGTCGTCGCTTTAGCCGAGAATACTTCTAGTGTAATCTACTAGCATGTTGGTTGAGGTAAAGTACGAAACATTTTTTTTATTAATTGAATAATTTCATGGTTTTAATAAGAGATGATTTTCTTCACAAATGACTTGTGGTAGTTTAAAAATAGCAGGGAAGAGCATGTAGCTAGCAGATACTGAATAAACTTTTGTATAATTTCGAAAATTCTGAATAAAACTATGATATAAAATAGTTTCAAATAACCAATGTCACATAACCTACCGTTGTAACTATATGGATAATAAAACTATGATATAAAATAGTTTCAAATAACCAATGTCACATAACCTACCGTTGTAACGATATGGATAATAAAACTATGATATAAAATAGTTTCAAATGACCAATGTCACATAACCTACCGTTGTAGCTATATGGATAATAAAACTATGACATCAAATAGTTTCAAATAACCAATGTCACATAACCTACCGTTGTAACTATATGGATAATAAAACTGTGATATAAAATAGTTTCAAATGACCAATTTCACAAAATCTACCATTGTAACTATATGGATAATAAAACTATGATATCAAATAGTTTCAAATGACCAATGTCACATAACCTACCGTTGTAACTGTATGGATAATAAAACTATGATATAAAATAGTTTCAAATAACCAATGTCACATAACCTACCGTTGTAACTATATGGATAATAAAACTATGACATCAAATAGTTTCAAATAACCAATGTCACATAACCTACCGTTGTAACTATATGGAAAATAAAACTATGATATCAAATAGTTTCAAATAACCAATGTCACATAACCTACCGTTGTAACTATATGGATAATAAAACTATGAGGATCTCAAAAACATTTAGTATATCTTCCTGCAACTCGTTACCAAGTTTGGAGTTCTAGGTGAGCAAACATTAAGATTTCTTACTGTTTAACTTTGATGTCACTTGCTTCAAATACTATGACTCAATAATATCCGTTGCTCCGAATGGAACACTCGAAACGGTAGTAGAGGCTAAAGTGAATTTTGCTATAATTACAAAATTTATTGTATTCATTAAAAATAATAAAATCATACCTTGACACACTAGATAATGATAAATAAATATACACCCGAAAATCTTCTATTATGATGATGACCATGGTGCTGTGGAATGTTTAATTGATGATGGTAATGAATATATTACTTAAAGTTTTTGATGATGATGATGCTAACGATATTAGGAAATCCTTGAGATCAGTTACAATAATAGCTTGTAATCGTGCCTAGGGTAGCTACTGGTATCGCTTTGAATTTGTGGAGCCTCCAATAACGACTATTATTATACTGCCAAGTCTCATTGGATGATTTAACACGACATTCTATAAATAAGATTACAATGGTATCACAGAGTTTACAAACATGAGTTGTATAATATTGCTAAAATCTTATGAGAATTGGCACTGTGTTACTGCGAAATCCCCCCAAAAAAGAATATTATAACGTACTGTAGAAAATTTGTTGTTGTTGTTTCTTTGTTTGTACTTAAGCAAAAAGCTACGCTATGAGGTATCTCTGTTGTGTCTACCACAGATTTCGAAACCCGGTGTCGAGCATTAAAAGTGTAGAGACTTATCGCTGTGCCACTGGGAGCGTAGAACTCAGAGAACTATGATTTTTGATATCGCAAATTCTCCTAGGACAATATTGTAGAACTCCTAAAAATGTTTCGCTATTTTAGAATTTGTACGAATGGATGTAATAATACTATAAATCGTCCAAAATTATTAAATCGAAAACGTGAAATTTCTAAGTATAATTATTACACTTCTCGGAAATATTCGTCAATAATTATTAATATAATTCTAAAAGTCAATTCACACTAACACAAAGATTAATTGATTTGAATGATGTTTTCATATAAGGCATTGGGTTCTTGGGATTTTTGTCAGCATGCTTCGAGAGGAGAGGGAGTTCAGTACCAAAAAGAACTGTTTCTAAAGTTTATTTTTTTAATTTCGCGCAAAGCTACACGAGGGCTATCTGCGTTAGCCACCCCTAATTTAGCAGTGTAATACTAGAGGGAAGGCAGCCAGTCATCACCACCCACCGCCAACTCTTGGGCTGCTCTTTTACCAACAAATAGTAGAATTGACCACCACATTATAACGCCCAGACGGCTGAAAGGGCGAGCATGTTTGTTATGGGGATTCGAACCCGCGGCCCACAGATTGCGAGTCGAACTCCCTAACCACCTGGCCATGCCGGGCGTGTCGATAAAGATACTTCGACAATATATAAGAAACTCGTGATAAGGGCTATCTCGGAAATAAGGAAATGTAGTTATAAAATCTACTACTCTGCTTTAAATGGCGTCTTGTAGTATTAACCCTTTCTTTACAATTAAACATGAAAGTTCTTGCTTATATTGTTGTTTCATAAATCTCTGAAGGCGAACTGTACCATAAACTTCCTGTGATGGAAATCGTACTTCAAGCACTTCTTATAGCAGAATCTCTGTTGTCTTACTTTGTTATTAAGAGTATACTTTTTAACTTTATTTCTTTGATTTTTGTCATTATGTATTGGTAAACTCTCGAAATATAAAGGTAATGATACTAAGATACGTGTCGTGCAAATACAATATTTACTGTATTGGAATATTTGAAATACATAAAAACATGTATGGATTAAACAGTACGAGATAATGCTTCTGTTACCAATAATACTTCTCGCTGGAGGAAAATTAGCTCACAAGAACAAACTTTGAAATTAAAAAAAAAAGATGTAATTCATTTTTTTAATTAGCCGTTACTTTCAGTTATATCCATATTAATCCGTATGTTTAAGAAAACGGGTGGGCTGTGATTAGCTGACTGTTAACACAACTATCGAAGTTAGAACAGTCTGTTAAAGTCAGACATCGTGGTCAGCATTTTGGATTAAAACGAACTTCAATGGGGTTCCGGAGAAGAAAGATGAGCCTTGCGAGATGGTGGAAACCCCCCTCGAAGTTTGTTATAGAGAAAAACCATTAAAACACGGGTGAAACTAGATAAAAATTGGTGAAGAACAATTAAGAGTACAATAAAATAAAGGAATAAGTTTAAGAACAGATCCAAGTTATGAAAGCACTAGTAATATGTATAAAGAAATTATCTAATATTAGATATCAAAATACAATAATAATTATAAGGCTTTTCTTATGAAAACCTATCGACGTTAGTCTAATGGCTTTTTTACAGCCATGACATCTCTGCAAAATTTGACATAGTAAGTTATCATGATATTCTCCTAGATATGATATATGTACTCGATAAAAATCTATTTTAATAGACATTTCACACGATAGTTATACTATCCCATTTTTCGAGTAGAGATTCCGATTAACGATTACTTCCGTCAAGCGAGATACGATAGCAGTCTGTCGTGTACTACGTACATGATTGACGTTAATGCTACCAATTGTTATTGCTACAGTAATTACACACTGATATTTTCAATTTCGTGACATTGTGAATTGTTGATGTTGTTCTATATTATTTATGCTATGCCTTACGCTCACTCATATATGAATATGTTACAGACTATTGATATTTAAGTATTTACATTTTGCTACTTTAGAAATTCTAGTTTTCCCCTTTTTTCCTTAGCCGCAACTCTGATATTTCCCCTTGCTACTTCAAGCAGTTAATTTTTAGTAGGTGCTTCAATTTCTAATCACTGCTAAGTGCAGATCATTTACATAGGTACTATTGCTCTACACAGAACGAAGCGGCTTATATAACGTAGAATATGAAACAGCTAAAAAAAACGTAGTGCTTTTCAAGCTCTTAAGTTTAACGCTACTATACTTCCTTTTCATTTTTCATTTCAGAGAAAACACACAACTATTCTGCTCTGTCTGGTAAACAATCGTTTTCTGCCACCTAATCGTACACAATCGTTTATTTGACTATTGAAACTAAGACTTCGAGAAGTTCAATGATGACTATCAAACCAGCACGTGTTCTCCACGTGAGATAGAAGCCTGGTATCAACTAGTTTATATTAACCATCAAGGTACTTGTCATTCCCAATACGTCCCAGAATTGCAATCCCACGCATGTAACCAGCCTGCTATACGTGGATGAGTGGTCCTGAAGTCACAGGAAAGCTGGCCCACAACCGCATAACCTCCAGGGCGAGCGGCCGGCGTAGTAGCGGCCTTCGAGGAGTATTGTCTCGGCGACTTTCTGTGGGTTCCTTGCACGACAGCCTCGACAATAGCAAGGGCAGTCAACCGCATCTAGCCGAGTGTAACAGGGTAAGATGATTATCATAATACAATAAGGATCCTTTTCCCAGAAAAAAATGGGTTTAAAGTATGAAGGAAGTCTTTTTAGAGTAAATCTGTAATGAATATATATAATCTAGTGTATACTTTTCATTAAACATTCATTCTTAACAACGTTGGAGATTAATACAAAACATGGTTTCGACTGTAAATTAATTAATTAAAAGTTCGAAGATGTTATTACGAATTTGAATATCACGTTATATTAGCACTTATGAAAGGTTGGTTTTGTATGCTGAGTAAAGCTTGTGATGCTAATTAAAGGCTCTATGTTAGATCCAGGTTACAGAGTGTGTTTCGAAGACAATTATAGGAGAATGGTTGTATCAAGCATCATTGGCTATGATTCATCAGGCTGCTGAGAAGAAATTCTGTTGACAGATAGGGAATGTTGACTGTTTTGTTTCGGATTATTCAGCACATTATTTACTGGCAGCAGTCTAACAGTTACTGTCTGCTCATCTGATTGACAGTTGTAGAATATTTAAATTATTTTCCTGCATTCAATGAGCAGATTCTATTGACTAATGTATTTTCTCAAATTTTAAGACTAGACCATCACAACATTAATGGAATATTCTTTACTGGGAATCATTTCAGACAACAATATATGATAATTAGTCGTAGTTTCTCAGTTTTTTTTTATTGCAGATCCTGATAACAGTTATGGAACATGGTATTTTGTATTTCCAGCATTTCAAGGTCAGGATTTTATCATAACATTTTATTATATCAACCTATTTTCCCCAGAGTATTGATATCTGAAGACAGTTAAAAGGTTATACTATATTACGGACAAATTCTAGTGAAAGCTTTTAAATATTATGAATATTTTCCCAGATACTGCCTAAAGATTTTTGTGACTGTTAACAGACAATTGGAATGACTCTTTGGTGTTCAAAGAACCGTTTCTCAGGACAACTTTTTTAGGATTATCTATTTGTTCTGTTTTTCTTTTTTTAGACTTTTTTTTTATGATGGCTTCGTCTCGAAGTTTGTTGATTATTACACAGTTGATTGTATATCCTAATATCGGATATTAAATGTTGGTAGAGTTTTACTAATGACGGTGTGAAGATTCTGTTCAAATTAGCTATGTCTTCCTATACGGTTGATTATATATATACTAATATCGCATAGTAAATGTTGGTAGATTTTGACCAATGTTGATGTGTGAAGATTTTGTTGAAATTAACTATGCCTTCCTACACGGTTGATTATATATACTAATATCGGATATTAAATGTTGGTTGATTTTGACCAATGACGATGTGAAGATTTTGTTGAAATTAGCTATGCCTTCCTTCACCGCCGAGTAAATATACTAATATCGGATATTAAACGTTGGTTGATTTTTACTAATGACGGTGTGAAGATTCTGTTGAAATTAGCTATGCCTTCCTACACGGCCGAGTAAATATACTAATATCGGATATTAGATGTTGGTAGATTTTGACCAATGACGTTGTGAAGATTCTGTTGAAATTAGCTATGCCTTCCTACACGGTTGAGTAGAAAGTCCTATAAGAGTGGTAAAATTTTCTATATTTCCACCTTAATAAACAAAAATTCAGATGACAGTAATGGACATTGTCTTTGTGTCTTCTGCACTTGAGGTACAGATTCCAATGTCATTTATAGAACTCTGGCTTTGTTTGCTTATATTATTGAACAAAGATTCCGAAAACATTATTGGTATATCTCTACCTATTAATTAATGACGATAATAAAACTTGGTTCTGTCTTTTCCTAATCCGCTGGTAATTGTGAGATATTATCCATTTCTCATACAATTATTAGAGTTACTGTGTTTCCAAATCAATATCTTATCAATTCTGATGAAAGTGATAGCATAGTGACGATTTATTTACAGATTATGATGACAGAATAGTGAATAGGCTATAAGTATTGAATAGAGGCTATGATGATACTTTGAACATATTAGCTGTTCCGATAATAGCATCGGAAAGTTACAGAATATAAGTTATGTCTCTCCAATTAGATTAGGGATATATTCTGATTGCAGATATAGATAACACACTAATTATTGAAAACGGACTAAGTCGAGAAGTTTTAAATGCTAGCTTGCTATTTATGTTTTCCCAAATTACTTAGTATATCTTGTGATAACAAGATTGTTCAATAAATATCCTAAAGACGGCCTTAAAGTTTTCATTTGATCTTCTCAGATTCATAGATATAAATTATGCCAGATATTGAAAGTTAATTTTCTAATAACTAAGAAGAAATTATTACGACAGGTATGGTGTATTAGGTATTTGATATCAGATTACGCTATCAGTTACAGACCTTGGATTACGCCTCTTGAACAGTAACAGTACGCAGGTGGTATCTCTGAGATTTCTGAATGCAAATTATGATGTTTTTAGGGAACGAGGATTATGTCTCCTCAGATTTCTGAATTCAGATTATGATTATAGTTACAAAATATGGGTTTTGAATTCTAGGTTATTGAAAGTGTATTATAATGATAATTTTACAGCATTGATTATTTTCTGATAACCGAATACAGGGGTATTCTGGTAATGAAAAGGAGAACCAGTTATATTTTCAAAATAATAGAACGCATTTTATTTTACAAACTATGTTTTTTTAAATTAATTGAAAATAGATATCTCGCGATCAACTACTTATTCCACATTATAATGACAGGTAAGGAAGGTAACCTTATCCTAATAGGTACATTATCTGATGGCAGTTAGAAAACACTGGTTATATTACTGAGTAAATATATGTTTCGGTAATAGTTTATTAAGACTGATCATGCTAACCCTTTCCATTTAAATTATATTAAAGTTTTATCATTGACATTTAATGTTACACATTCTGATGACACTTATACAACTTTATTTTTGCTTCCACTTCCTCATTTATACAATTTGTGAACATAGTTGTGTATCTCGTATAATAATTAGTGTATACTAAATGTATTTGAGCAGGGTGCCCGAAATTGTTCTGTTTCAAGAGCAAACGAAACCAATCCTAGGAAAGACAAATATTTCTATTTAATGTTTTTTAAGTTCATATGTCACGTTTTGTTGTAGCCTACAAAGTGCATAATTCTTCTCGTGATTCATGGCATGCTCGCGTTTTACTGACGTCTCGACAGTACAAACTGCAACGTTAAGCATCCCTTATGTCATGCCATTTTAGTGTCTACTGACTGAGTGACAGACAACACATTACTGTATAGTGGTACGAGTGGCTAAAACATGTGAACCCTCCAGGCGGCCTTTGGCCCCCTTTGGGGAACATTACACTGACAGGTTAGGCAGGTTGGCCTTATTAACCCATTTTTGATTAATAAACATTCTGATTCTGGTAATACAACAGTGACTTGGCCTTCTCAGCTCATTGAAAAAAAAACTGTAATAATATATATATATATATACACACACCTTTAGATACGAGTTCGAAGATTAATTGCATGGTGCGTGATTTAGTGACGGATTTTTCTGTTGTTGCTTTTTTTCTCTAATATATTAAACACCGACTCTAATGACGTTTATTTAAATTTTTATTATGCCTCCTTCATTTTAATGAGTCATATT